GAATTGAACTGCAGTCCCTTTGCTTTGCTAAGTTTGTTCTAAGTAGGTGCTTTAGACCACTGAGCCATCTCACCAGCTCTGTTATTGTGTTTCTTTGTTTTTTGTTTTTGCAGTACTGGGGACCGAACTTGGAACCTTGAGCCTACCAGGTAGCTGCTTATGCTGCTGAGCTATATCCCCAGCCTTGCATTTTTCCTTTAAGACAAAAATGTTAATATATGGTTGCTTTTTCTAAACTGAACTCAGAATTCAGGTTTAATCACAGCATCGGTATTTTGCAATAAAAAGTGTGTTTGGCGTTACAGTTTTGGGCCCTCAGTCTCTCAAAGATTTGCATCGCTGAACACAAGCTGACATTGCTGATTCTCATGGTGTTGTAGGCAATGAACTTGGAACCTAAACTTGGAACTTTAAACATATCCCTCTTAAATGTAATCTTGTTAATTTTGTCTCAAGATCTTTCTAGATTGCTCTGAATTCTCATTATCTTACTTGATATACCTGCTTTCCCTCTTAGTTTGGGACATTTGCAATTGCAAACGCATGTTTTTATTTTGCTCATATTATGTAGTCTAAAACAATAGGCCACTAAAACTTATCTAGAATCATTGATCCTGTATCTGTACTGTTTCACTTAAAATAATTATTTTTGTTCTAAAAAGATCATATGATGTCGTACATCTATAGTCCTAGCATTCTGGGAGGTAAAGGCAAGTTCAAGCTCAGCCTGGGCAACTTGGCAATACAGTGAGTCCCTGTCTCAAAGTAAAACTAAGAAGGAATTGGGGATGTAGCTCTACATGAAGGCCCTAGGTTCAAACCACAAGGACACCCAAATGCTGACTGTGATTATTTCTGAATGATTTACAGCTTTGGGGTTCTGTTGTCATAATTTTCAGCAAATGCACATAAATGAGGCAGCTTCCTATTAAATTGTCTGTCACCCACAGCTTAAAGAAGGTGACAGGCTCAGGTGAAGTTTCATTCAGCTCACAGTTTTGGGGGGTTCCAGTCTATGGTAGGCTGGCCCCAAGGGAGCGACATCATGGAAGAAGGACAAGGCGAAACAAAGCTGCTTAGTACCTCATGACTGAGAAAGCAGAGCAGGAGAACAGTGCCGGACAGGGAGGCTCCAGGGATCAGGCGTGGACCCCAAGATCTCTCCTCTATGACCTTCTCAGACACATCCAGAAGTGTACCTTACTAACCCCTCAGTGGCTCCCAAGCCAATGAAGTTGACAATAAAATGTAACTTTCGAGTACGGTTACAAGACAACAGAGCAACCAACACAAAATTGATCATTTACAAACACCCTGATGTTGGAGAGATGGCAGAAGAAGAGCAAAGAAAAAAGATGCCCTCAGTTCCAGAAAAATCTCCTGAAAAACGAGGAAGGCTTATCAAGCCCTCAAAGCCACCCAGGCAAAGAAGGAGAGGAAGGTAAAAGAGATCAGATTTAAGCGACTGCAATCTTTCCTTCAGGAGTCCTGGAGAAAGTGGCAGGACTGGGTGTGCATGAAACTTCTAGAAGTGAAACCTTGAGCTTTGGAAGCACCTGCTGAACATTCCTTGGCCTTTGTTGTCCACCTCTAAAGTATTAACAGGGTGAGTTCACTAGTACAGAAGGCCATTGCAAAACTTCACCTGAAGAAGTTGTTCAGTGGTGTCTTTGTTAACATCACCCCCAACTCTCAAAATGGAGCCTTGTGTGAGCTGGGATTCCCAAATCTGAAGTCTGTCAGGGAACTCATTTGGAAACATTGACAGGACAAGGTCATGAGCAAGACCTTCACTCTGATGGACAAAGCTGTGATCGAGGAGCACCTGGGCAAGTTTGGTGCTGTTTGCCCGGAAGACCTCATTCACAAGATCACCTTCCCGGGGGGTGCTCCTCCAGGAGAGACCCTCCTCTTGCTACCTTTCCGCCTGTCTGTGGACCTGCATGCTACCAAGAACAGGGTGGCTTCCTTAGGGAGACGGGTTCGCCCGGCCGTCGGGGCGAAGGCATCCACCAGCTCATCCACCAGCTGAGCTCGGTCCAGAATATCAAAGCGCAGCGCCTTGAAGCATGTCTTTGTTTTTGGAACTGTTACCAAGTATCTTCAGAGAAGATGGCTTTCTGCTTTTAGAGGCTGCAAGGAGGCATCAGAGAAGCGGATTTTCAGGCACTGGCACCGCTGAAATCAACGCATACTGTGGAGGAAGAAGTCTTGATTGCCTATTCTATCCTGGGTCCCAGTGTCAGTGAATGAGTAACCTAGGGTGGGTGCAGAGCTCCCTAAGCCTAAGACTTGGAGAAATGGGCCCAGCCCAGAGGCAAGCTTGATTGAATCTGGAGCCTCAGGGCTTTCTTTTGAAAAAGACTTGAAATACAGTTGCAATTGTCACGAAAAATAATAAGAAAATTAAAGCACTTTATTCAGCTATGCCTAAAAGATTTCACTTTCTTGTGCTTTCACTGTTTGTTTTTCCCTCTCATTCCCTTCCCCATTTTGTACTCTCACTGATCAGGCACACCTTGGCTTTTTCTTTTCAAAAACATCTATCCTGGACCAGGGAGATAGCTCAGTAGAATAAGCACTTGCCTGGCAAGCACAAGGTCCTGAGTTCAATCCCTGGTACCCCCCCCCCAAAAAAAAGGAGGGCCTGATTGGAGTCAGGCCTCTAGGAGCATGACCTGCAAGGGTGCTAAAAGAGTGTCTTCTCTCCCTCTTCCCCTCCCCTTCCCCTTTCTCCTTTCCCCCTCCCATTGTCCTTCTCCTTTCTCCTCCCCTTTCCATTCCCTTCCCACTGCCCCTCCTCCTCCCCTTCCCCCTCTTCCTCATCATTGTGGACACAGTATCTTTGCCTCCACCTTCTCCTAAGTCCCTCTGCCATCCTGTTTCTTAGAGCCAATCAACCACAGACCGCAACCATAAACCAAAATAAACCTTTCCTCCTTTTAACTGTTGGTGTGGAGTATTCCGTCCTAGTGATGAGAAAATAACTCTGGCACGTATTAACAAGGATGGCTCTTTCCAGCTGCTAGATTTAACCATTAGACACAAAGTCCTCATTCGAGAAGGAATCCAAACTTTTCACAAAAATCCTTATTAGTTTCCCTAATAATTTCTTGAAGTAAAAAGTCATATACTGCTAATGTAATAGATGTCAAAATGTGGGGGCCGGCGAGATAGCTCAGTGGACCAACGCACCTGCTTAGGCAGCACCCAGACCCCGGGGTTCGACCCCCAGTGTGCAGTGCTGGCCCCTCCCCCAGGGTGCGCTGAGAAGGACTGAGACTGGGCATGGCGGCGTGTCACTATAACCCCAGCACTTGGGAGGCTGAAAACAGGAGAATCACTACAAGTCTGATCTGTGTGGTGAGACCCTGTAGATCCTGTACTAAATACATTTTTTAAATTAAAGAAATAAATAAGATGTCAAAATGTGTACATCCAGAAACTTTGTGTGGCTTTCATCCAGACTCCTTACTGGGGCCAAAGAGAAGGCAGTGACACTGGTTTCATGCCCAGCCAAACATTCAGCTGGTGAAGCCATCCCGGAAACAGAGCCCACAGGTAACTGAATCTCTCTACCCACCACCTCTCCAGTACCCGCAAGGAGTCGTCCTGATATGATACCCAAGGGGTCAGGAACATTTCTGAGAGCCCTTCATGAAGTTGTAGAATAAAAGATAAACTTCAAGTAAAAAACGTTTCAGACTGAAACAGAGAGACGATGTGCACCTGGGACTAAGGACAACTGTGCTGTCCCAGTTGCGTTGGCCAACTGAAAACTATTCTGTTCAAAAGGAGGTATCCTGGAAAGAGTATGGTGGCTACTCAAAAATTTTAAATGGAATTACCATACGCTCCAACAATGCCATTTCTCAGTGCAATACTCAAAGTAACTGAAAGGAAGATATTAAAGAGACAATTGTACAGCCTTGTCCATAGCATCCGTGGACGCAGCAGCCACAACATGGAAGCCAACTGCGTGTCCAAAATGTGGCCTGTGTGTGCCACGGAATACGTCTTGTCCAGCCTTAGGAAGAAAATGCCAGCACACGGCACCACACACATGAGCCTTGAGAACATTATTTGAAATAGCCAGTCACAAGAGAACACACACGCTGTGATATCACTCACAAGCGGCTCCTAAGCTCCTCAAATTCAGACAAAAACTGGAATGGTGGCTGCCAGTGGCTGCCAGGAGCGAGGAATGGGGCGTGAGTGTCACATGGGTACCGCGTTTCAGACTGGAAAGATCGAAGAGCTCTAGGGACAGTTTGCACAGCAAGGTGAATGTACTTACTTAATGCCAAAAGTTTAAAAAAAAAAAAAAAAAACCCACAAATGTAGACCAGGGAAAAGGTCTTAGGTTCAATCCCCTGGGCCAGAGGGGAAATACTTTAAAAGGAAAAAAGTCGTAGAAAGTGTCAAAACGATAAACGTTGTATGTTTCATCGTAGTGAAAAATAGAAAGGAGACGCCCTGAAGTACTAACAGTCTTTGGATAGGTAGGTCGAATTATATAATAATAATAATATGTTATAATATATTAATTATAATAATATAAATATATAATAGTGTGGCAAAGTTCTAACTCATCGGAGTTACGGGCTTTTGTTTTATGTTTCGTTTTTTTCATAGCTCCGGTGAACCTGCGAGGCTGAGACAAAGGAGTCAGGTGGCGCCCTAGCAAGAGCGCACCGCGCCACCAACTCTGCAGCCGCCGCCAGGGCTGACAGCCCTTGAGAAAGGGTTGGGAACCCTCGCAGGCGGAACAGCCGCTGGCCGAGCGAGCCGTCCTCCCCTGTCGTACGCGGACGGTCTTCCAATCACAGGGCCGCGCAGCTCCCAGGAAAAGCCAATCACAAGCGTCTATTTCCTCTTGGCCCGCCCTTTGGGGCTTTCAATTGGTAGGTTTCAAACCCTCCGGAGCCAATGAGAGTGAGCAAAAGCGCGACCCTGGCGCTGAAGCTCCTGGCGCGGCCTTTGAAAGGAAAACTGTCGCAGAGGCGTCATGGTGAGGCCGGGGTCCTCCGCCGCGGACGCCGCGGCTGGTGAGTGTGACCAAGAGTCTCTGTTTCTTGCGGGCCTTGGAGCACGGGCGAGGAAGTAGGGAGGTCACCGAGCGTCCTTCGCGCGGCAGTTGCCCGTCTTCTCAGTTCCACCTTGCCTCAGTTAGGCCCGGCGCGGAGCCCAGGCAGGGTGTCGTGGGGCCCCGTAAAAGCCCCACAAAACCAAGTTTTGAGGTCGAGACAGTTTGAGATCGACCACCGGAGACCGCTTTCCCGGGGTCGCAGCACCTGTGAGAAGCCGCGCGCTTCGCTCCGGCGCGCAGATTTGGCCGCAGGCGGAGCTGGGTGTGGCTCCTAGCGCTGGGCCTGGACTTTGACAGCGCCCGGGGAAGACAGGATGGGGTTAGGGAGCCAGCCCCGAATCTGAATCCGGGTTCTCTGCCAGCTGTGGGACTGTGCACCCTCACCAGCCTCGTGCAGCCTGCAGGCTGATCGGTTAAACCTGAGGACCGAGGACGCGACTCCAGATGCCGCTTCTCCAGCTTGCACACCGTCTGGCCCGCTGTGCCTGATTGTGCCTCCTGGGTCCTGGGCGGCGTCCTGGCATTGCACCGGACCCTTCAACGTGGGCCTTCCTGGCCCCGCTTTAGAGGCTCAGCAGCAGCGAGGTTTTCTAACTTGGTAGAAGTCACAGGGACTCCACAACCCCTGCCTGGCGTGGACCTAATATTGTATTTCTCACAGCTGTTTGATAAAGATGCATCAGAATCTGAAAGCAGAACGGTTTGGCTTGTACCTTTGCGTTCTTTTATTTTAAAAAAATCATTACATAGGGGCCAAGGAGATGGCTCAGTAGAATAAGCGCTTCCCTGGCAAGTGCAAGGGCCTGAGTTCAGTCCCCATTCCGCAACAACAATAAAAAAAATTACATTATTTTAGTCATTTCCAACCACCTCTCTGCCCTCACTGTTCCTCTCTTCTGAGCTCCCATACTTTTTTTTTTTTTTTTACTTTTTCCTATGACACTAAACTTTGCCTTATATTGTAATTACTGTTGTGTTTATTTATCTCCACTACTAAACTGAAACTTCTTGAAGGCAGAAATGCAGGCTGAGTCTCCCTTATCTGAAATGCTTGAGACCAAGAGCATTTCAGATTTAAGATTTTGGAATAATTACATGCATAATGAGATATTTTGGACATGGGACCCAAACATCAACAAGAAATTCATTTATATTTCATGTACACTTTATGCACATAGGCTGCAGGTAATTCTATAGAGTATGTTTATCATGGTTTGACTGAGATCAGATGCATGAAGTCAGGTATGGAATTATCTTCTCCAAAAGCTTTGAATTTTGGAGCATTTTGAATTTCAGGTTTTGAGATTAGAGATGCTCGATCTGTATTGATTTTTCATCCCCTTACCAAAATCATTAGTCAGGGCCAATGAGATAGCTCAGCAGAAGCACAGGTTCCGAAGTTCAATCCCCTGTACCACATGCCAAGCCAGCCCCACCCCTAACCCCCACCCCAACCCCCTGCACAGTGAGCCAACCACCAAGTCGGAGCATAGTGGTACACACCTGTAATCTCAGGCTGGGGAGGCTGAAAACAGGAGTCCAAGCTGCATAGTGAGATCCTGTGCCAAATACATTTTTAAAAAATCATTATGTAGGGGTTTTCCATAAGCCCTCTAACCTGGCCTACTTTTTCTTTAGTCCTAAAGGAAGCTAAGGGTTTATGGTTTAAAATATTCTCATCCAGGGCTACCTCACCAGCTCAAGTGGGCCAATAAGGGGATCTCTTCATGTAAAGCAGGGTGTCTTATAACTGGAAATAGTGGCTGTGAACAAGCGTTCCAGGTTGAATAAACCTGTTTGGGGGTGTTGGCTTTGCTACATATATCTGGGTAAGATTAAAGCATGTTCTTTACCCTCCCTGAGTTTCAAATTACTGTACACCTCATAGAATTGTCATGTAGATTAAAAGAAGAAATGGAATGAGCTCAGTTTAGGACCTGGCTTATAAATTATATTGTTGATGTTGGTATTAAGGTAAACTTACAGGGCTGAGGACTTTCTAATGTGCTGCATAGCCAAAATCACTATGGAAAAGTGTCATCTTTTAGAATATAAATGAACTGGTAAAATTTCAAGCTAAAATTCTGTTGTTTGCTTGCTTGCTTTGCAGAACGACAGAAAAAGCTGCAGGAATACCTAGCAGCCAAGGGAAAACTGAAGAACCAAAATACCAAGTGAGTTTATCTCCCCAAAGTTAGGCCAGTTTTGCATCCCTCGTTGCTAATAGCAACTTAAAGCCTTTTCAGAACAGCCATTTGGCCTGTGGCCTACTCAGCCTACACTGGAATCTGAAGATAACTCAAAAAGAGAATTTCGGTCCAGATATGACAATACCCCCGAGCAGTGACTAATCTGTTGGCAGAGATTTAAGTGTTATTATCATGACACTCTCCAAAGGAAAAAGTATTGACAGTACTACCTGTCATGCTGGAAGCTTTTCTTATCTCCTCTTTTTCTGGGAGAAACTTGTTCTCCTCAAGGCAGTTTTGGTTGAAGGAATTCAGTGCTCCTGTTTCTAGTGTTTCTTACCAAAATAGCAGAGCCATTTATCAGTTCACTGTAGGGATACACTAACACCTTCCAGCCCAAAGATGCTCTCTGGTCATTCTGAGCTTTTACTTTTGAAGTGGGCGGAACAAAACCATTTCACTCATCCATATCAACATGTTACCATCATTATGGTGTTATTTATCCACTTGGGTTAGCATATTTTTCCTTCCCAACTAGGTCATTTGACTTTTATTTGAAAATTAATTTTAACTAAGTCAACTTTTATTCTTTATTTTATCTTGGGTTTTTACCCAGTTCTTTTTCTTTGGTTAAATTAAAAATCACTACAGAGACAGAACTAAACAAAAAAAGGGGATACAGATGAATGTTCGTTTTGTATCTGTATTCAAAATGGTTAGGATAGATATATAGTTACAGTTTCTTAATGAATAGAGGGATTTGTTCTAATAGTGTTTGTAAATTGGATATCATGTCTGCATCTTGTGCAGCAAATAACCACTAGGAAGAGAGTATGTAATGTGTTAATTATTGAAACTGTCGTACCAATTTGATTTGAAACTGTCTCATTGCTATTTGTCTCTCAATAAAATTATGAGGAAAAAAAATTACTGCAGAGCATGTAACACACTTATAACCCCAGCACTCAGGAGGCTGAGATAGAAAGATGCCCGGAGTTCTGGGCCACCCTGAGCTACCTAGTGAGTTCGAGGTACCCTGTTATTTAGTACCTGTAATGTATCAGCTCCTAAGGCTAGAAATGGGGTGCTTTAATAAGACAGTGGTCCCTGCCCTCTCACATGGGATGGTCAGAGTCACGGGATGGTCAGAGTCCTTGTTAGTCTAGCAATTGTTTTGGTCCATGGAGATTAAATCTTTCTAAATGTTTTTCTTCACCTCCTTCCCCTCCCACCTTTTCATCTGACTATCTAGATTTCATGCAGTGTCCTTACTCTTCTATTTTCAGTCATGGGGAATGAGTCCCAGGACTCCTCACATATACCAAAATCCACTGAAGGCTCAAGTGCCTTGTATAAAATGGCATAGTGTGTGCATGTAACCTGCTTACATCTTCCATTTACTTGCATCAGCTCTAATTGCTTGGAACACGTAATACAAAGTCACTGCTATAGCGTAATTATGCTGTATTGTTTAGGGAATAACAAGATGTTGACAGCGTTCAGTATATATGCAGTTTATTCAATTATTTTTGAGCATATTGGTTAGAACCACAGATGTTGAAAGATATGAAGGGTCAGCTATATTTCATCTTTTTAAATTAGTGTATGTTTACAATGTAGAATAGTAACATTTGTTTTGATGAATTAGTATAATTTCTTGATCATTTTCTATCCCTTTATCCATATATACATATAATATATATCACTTTTCATCTTGAAAATTTATTGTTTGAACAGTATATATAACAAGAAAGTGTTTTAAAGAAACAGTTAACTGTTTTATCTCCAATATCTAGCACATCATAGCATGAAAGGGTGACAGTTAAATGAATGAGACTGTACAAAAGCCACATATATTTCATTAACATTGTTAGAATGCTTCATTCATGTATAGGTTATCTCTGCAAGAATCACAAAGCAGTGAGTTCAAACAGGAGAATAAAAAACTAAAATATAATAAGGAGACTTTATTGAATAATAGTTTTGAATTTATCATATACCAAAATTCTAATGCATTACAATTCTAATCAAAATTCATAATCATTATACTTTCCAAGTTTTGACGATTCTATACTAAGGATTAATTTTTTTTTTCTTTTATAGGCCTTACCTAAAAGCCAAGAATAATTGCCCAAATCCACCACCTTCTAAATCTGTAAGTAAAAATTCACTTTTAAAGAAATACCTAGGGGGCTGATGAGATGGCTCAGTGGTCTAAAGCACCTACTTGGAACAAGCTAAGCTAAGCAAAACACAGGGACCACGGTTCGATCCCCTAGCACCACATGCCAGCCAGCCTCGCCCCCTGGTGGGCTGAGCTGGCTATACACACACAAAGTAAATAAATAAATAAATAAGAAATACCTAGTTTCTATTATGATTAGTTAAAAAAAAAGTAAAGATGCTACCTAAATAATAAAGATGCTAGATAGCATATATTTCTCATATATATGACAGTTGGTTTAATAAAGGACAAACATTTTTTAAAAAGATGAAAATAATCAGAAAAATTTCTCAACCAAAAAAGCCCTCAAGTGCACTCTTGATAGCTAATATTTATTAAATATTTACTGTGTGCCTGGCGCCTTCTAACTTGCATTAACCCACTGAGTCCTCACAACTTTACAAAAGGTAGGGAGTACTTATTAGTAGCCCCATGTTTTAGAGTGAGGAAACTGAGTCATGGAAAAGTTAAGTACCGTCCCGAGGTCATGGAGCTCTTAACTAACAGTGCTGAGAACCCCTGGTCTTAGCCATCTTGGTATTCTGCTGTGAAGCAAATAACTATGTTGGATCTTCTCAGCTGCTTAATGAAAATATACTAATCAATGCAGTACAGCTAGATTGTGGGCAGAATGGAAAAGATTCTGTCATTCTTGAGATTTCAGTGAGAGAAATTAGCTTTCTGAAAAGGATACAAATCCATCTACAGTAAAATAAATAATACTATCCATAAGATCCCATTTCTAATTTTTGAAACAGTAGTTCTACCAAAATTCTAAGTTAAACTGAAATTGTGTTGCCCAAAGTGAAACACTGGTGCCATTTTATAAGTTTTAATGGTTCAGTCCCTCTACACATACACACACACACACACACACACACACACGCACTAACTACACATATATGTACATAAGTAGGATGTCTGTGCCCATATGGAGATTGTGTGCCTTGGGTGTGCATGACATCTTAGCACTGAAAGATGAAACATGTATAAGGGAAAATTAGTGTACAGTGGCATGAACAGGAGAAAGTGCTCAGGTAGACTTCTACTTCTGTACTAATGTAGGAGTATAATATGCCTATCTTTTTTTCTTACAATAGTAGGGATTGAATTGAAGCCCTTCACACTGAGCTATATCCCCAGTCTTTTTTATGTTTTTATTTTGAGATAATTCTTGCTAAGTTGCCTGAGCTGTGCTCAAATTTGTGATCATCCTGCCTCACCATCCCAGAGGGCTGTCCTTACAGAAATACATCACCATGCCCAGCTGGGCTGCAAGTCTTAAAAGGAAAATCTGGGGAAAGCTTCCTCATTGAGAGCTAGCAAGTGTGAGTTCAGTAAGTCATCTCTTAAATGAGAGCAATACCAACATTATCTGCTGTACACAGTTCTAAAGATAAAAAGGAGAAGGAAATTTTAGAATTTAGGAAAAACTAAAACAGGGTAAGTAACGGTTGTAATTTTTGTAATTTCCTAACTGTAGATCCAAATCCTAACCCTATTTTAGAACTAAGTGACCACTGATAAGCTATTTAACTGCATCTATACTTAATAAAATAGAAGTGGTAAGAGTTATCTCTGAGGATTGTGAGAAAGAATTGAGTTAATATATACTGAGGGCTGGACAGACAGCTCTGTGGTCTAAGCACTTGCCTGGCAAGTGCAAGGACCCAAGTTTGATTCCTGGTACTACATGCAGTGCCGGCCTTGGAACCCTGGCACTAATGCCAGCAGGATGGGATATGTGTCCTGGAGGTACATAACAGGTATGCAGGCATACATTTTAGCAGAATCATTTCCAGGTCTTCAGCTTTTGTACATGCACTGACCTAAAATTGATTAAGAATATGTCTCATGTGCAGTTTCTCCTTTCCTACCTTCCTTAGCACCTCTACCTTCCTCTTTTTAATTCTTTCCTTTCTTGCCTGGTATAGACAGATCACTCACCCATCTCATCCCTAATCTTAATATGCTACTTTACTCTAGGAGGGAGGATATACCTCAAGAGTACAGAAGTGAGGGGCAATATGAAATAATAGGATTGATGGTGAGAAAGCCTTTTGCCAGTCAGGTGGTTTTCAGTTCTTTGCTTTCAACATTGTCTCTAGTGAAACATTCAACATTATTCATTTTTGGCTGAGAGATTGTTAGTACACACCTCCAGAGAAGCTCAAAAAATGGAGTGTTACTTCTGTAACAAAACACCTTGTAGTCCTATCTACTTATTAGAAAATAGGAAAAAAAGACTGATTACATACATAGCCATGTCTCATTATAGCAATAAATAACATTAAATATGCAAGCTAAGTTCTGGGGTACAAAGTTGATTAAACTTATTCTGAGAGTACATAAATAAAAATGTTTGAAAGCCACCTGTAAGCCCTTCCAGCCCTATGATACCCCTTATTTGCTCCATAATTTTCTTTGTATCTTTTCTACTAAAGTTGCTCAGGAACAAGTGTGACCACATCTTTGTGTCCCCTTAGAGTCTAGCTCAGTCAACATTCAGTAAATCTCTGTTGATATAAACCTAATTATACTTTTGTAAATCTTCTCCCTTCTCATATTTCATATGCCCAGAATAAAGAGCGCAATTTCAGTTGGAATCAGTCGCTCCTTTGTGCATACTGTTTTTGGTCCATCTGACCCATCAGTTCTAAAGTGTTAGATTGAGAGACAAAAAGTTAGAAAGCAAGATTCAGAGACTAAATAAAGTTCTAGCTCCAGAGTAGCCTCATACTTCCTATAGTCTTAGACACCTCAGTTTCTCAAATGAAGGGGCTGAATTTAACCATCTCTAAAATCTTTTCCAGTTCCAACTTTCAGTATTTGCATATTAGTTGCTAATCTAAAAATTCTTCTAAGCTCAGCTTTTCTCAGTGGAGCTCTTGAAACAGTATAACCTATTCTATCACCTATAATAAGTTAGCTAGACCAGGCTGATCTAAAATCAAGATATAAAAAAGATATAAGACAAAACATTTGCAAATCAGGCCAGGGATATAGCTCAGTGGCATAAGCAAGCACCTACCTGGCAAGCACAATGTCCCAAGTTCAATCTCTGGTACTGTAAAACAAAAAAAATTCAAATCATATGGCTGATAAGAATATAGGATCTAAATTCTTCCTTCTTCATTTTTATTTTAGACAATTTTTATTGTTATATTCATTTAAGTTGGTAAATAATTTACAATGTGCAAGCTAATATTAATCTCATGCTATGTATTCATTTCAGAAATATTTCTCTAAAATTCACTCTGTCTGGGGCTGGTGAGATGGCTCAGTGGTCTAAAGCACCTACTTAGAACAAGCTTAGCAAAGCACAGGGACCGCGGTTCAATCCCCCAGCACCA